TTAATGGATTGACAGAAAGTGCGTTAAAAAATTTGAAAAGCAAAAACAATTAAATTATGTTTCACAAAAGACAATCAAATGAATGATATAACATCGAGTATCATCGAGTTAACAGTTAGTTCTTCATTATCGACGGTCTTCATAAATCTTCTTATCGACGATGGTGAGTGCGTCCACCACAAAACTGTAGGCCCGCGAACCGTTCGCTCGGTCGAGTTTCCCATCTGTATGTTTCGTGCCCGAAGTTCGCGAGCGTGGAGACAAAGCCACAGGCTGGGTTTTACCACGCGCTGCGACGCGCTTTAAGAACGAGCCGAGCCAGCGTGCGTAACGCATTATCGAAGTTTTCTCGTACACCATCTTAATAAACTATTCCATTTTTTAACTTCAGTACGGAAGTTTTCTTGGGTTTTCTGACACTAGTCAGACTTACGGATAAAGTATTGTAGGAGCTTTATTCGTACAAATAGTTTCCCTACAAAACTGTAGGGGAAACCGATCGACGCGCTTCTTTAATGAGCAATAATAACAATTATTTGCGGTAACGGTTACAATACATACTACCAACTTAAAAACTAGATGGTAACTTATGCTCTAGGAACTTTTCTCTTTAGGCCACATCACTCCCCTCTGAGCGGTTTAAAATGTTAAACTGCGAATCTCACAGTTTTTTCTCGTGCGTACGTTCTAAGTTCAGTACTTCTTGATCCTTCTGCGCTTGTTTCTCCCACATCTTCCGTAAATGCCGTTTTTAATCGCTCGATGGATATATTTGTGGGTTTTCCTTTATAATTAATTTTGTAGCCATGATTAAGGAATCAAGGAAAAGAATTCTGGACAGACAAAGGTTTATCGTGAGGAACATGGTTATACAGAGGATTGGGAATGGATAATTGTAACAGGAATTCAGAATGAACGGAATTATACAAAACAGCATAATACAATTTCTCATTTTACAATATTTTACAATTTTCAATCTTTGAAATAGAAGAATCATTCTGTACTCTCCCGCTCGTAATTGGCATCCAGGTAACATCGCCGAACTCTCCTTGTCGAATGGGCGACCAGGAACATACTCCCGTCCTCTCCCTTATTTCTAACTGGGATGTCCACGAGTAGTTCTGTTCTCTCCTATTCGACAGGCGTCCAGGTATTATCGCCGAACTTTCCTTGTCGAATAGGCGACCAGGAACATACTCCCGTCCTCTCCCTTCTCCAGCAGGCGTCCAGGTATTATCGCCGAACTCTCCTGCCGGAGTCCCTAAACCGAATTCCGAGAACGGCCGATGCTCTTACCTCGTCCTCTCTCCCGGAATGGCAAATAGGCCGAATGCCTCTACGAGCCCTCAATTTATATAGCATGGTTGCTATCCGCGGCCACGGTTGTCAACAGTCGCGTCGTTAGGCGAGAAGGTTCGCGAGTTCGCAGTCCGCGCCTCGCGTCTCGCACCGCGCGTCGGCCTCCCTCATATGTTCTACAAGTTTCGTACGCTCGCTTTTCGTATTTCTTGAATTTCGTATGCTACAATTTGAAATACATCATCTGACAATCTTTTTAAAATTTGAAATGGCCCTTCGTAAGGTGGATCCAATGGTTTTTTTACAGGATCTATCCTGACAAAAACATGTGTACATGTATATAACGTTTTATAAATGAATACCTTACGTTTGGAATGGTGAGCGGTTGGAATCGGTTTAATTGTCTTAATATATTGTCGGAATTTATTAATAAAATGTTCTGGTTCACTTCTTTCGCCTTGCTCGAACAATTCTCCTGGTAAGCGTATGTTGCTTCCATATATCATCTCAGCTGCTGTTGCATTAATATCCTCTTTAAAACTTGTTCTCAGACCTAAAAGTATTGTGGGCAAAATTTCTGTCCACTCATTATCCTTATGACATATGATGGCTGTTTTAAATGATCTGTGCCATCTTTCTACTAATCCGTTAGATGCTGGGTGATATGGTGTTGTTCTGTTTCTATTGCATCCTAATAATTTGGTTAGTGATTTAAAGAATAAGGATTCAAACCGAGTACCTTGGTCTGTGGTCATTGTTATTGGCGTTCCAAATCTTGTAATCCAATTATTATATAATGCTATTGCTACTGAATCAGCTGATATGTCCTTTAATGGGACTCCTTCAGGCCAACGTGTAAACCTATCTATTATAGTCAGACAATATCGAACATTTTTGGACGGTGGGAGGGGTCCTACAATATCAACGTGTATATGTTCAAACCTTCCAGTTGGAACTTCAATATGCTGTGGCTGTTTTTTATTGTGTCTGTGAACCTTCCCTCTTTGGCAATCTAAACAAGAACGCACCCAATTGGTAATATCTTTTCCCATTTGTGACCATATGAAGCTTTTTGCTATAATTTTTTTCGTAGCTTTTCCTCCTAGATGGGACAAATTGTGTATAACCTCGAAAATCCTTTTCCTTAGGGCTTTAGGTATGTATGGTCTTGTTTCGTTAAAAATGTCACCATATATATGTTTATCGGAATCGCTGATGGCAATTTTTGTAATACCCCATTTGTCCATTTGATTTGGACTTCTTATTAAATTTTGCAGTTCTTCATCTGTTTTCTGCTCTTCAATTAATTCTTCTGTTGAAATTAAAACTGGTAAATTTATAGTTGCTACCCGTAACAGTGCATCTGCAATCTTGTTCATCGTTCCTGTCACACGCTGTATATTCGTTGTATACTGCCCAATGAAATCTAACTGACGTAATTGTCTCGGTGTTGCCTTATCAGTGTTTTGCTGAAAGACATACACGAGGGGTTTATGATCCGTTCTGATCATAAGGTCTCCACCTTCTACCCAATGTTTAAAAAATTTGATACCTTTATAAATTACCAGCAACTCTCTATCGTATGTGCTGTATCTTGTTTGAGCTCTGTCCAGTTTTCTAGAAAAGAACCCTAGTGGTCCCCACTTGTTTTGATTCTATTGTTCCAGCACTGCCCCCAACGCAATATTTGAAGCATCTGTTGCGAGTGCTAATTTTGCTCCTTTGTACTGGATAATGCAACAATGCAGCTGCTGCCATTAACTCCTTGTATTTGTCGAAGGCCTTTTCTGCATTCTCTGTCCACTTGATTGGCCTGTTATCTTCTTTCTTCGCTCCTATGAGCATTTGGTTCAACGGTACTAGAATCTCCCCTGCATTGAGAAGAAATCTCCTATAATAATTTAGTACACCTAAAAATCTTCTTACCTCACTAATTGTGGTTGGTTTTGGGTATGTCTGTATCGCTGAAACCCTCTTTTCCAAAGGAGCGATACCTAGTTTGTTAATTCTACAACCTAAATATTGCACTTCTTCTTGTGCGAATTGGCACTTTGATACATTTATGGTTAGATCAGGCTCCTCCAGCTTTTGGAACACTGCTCGCAGATGTGCTTCATGCTGCTCCACATTCTCTGATGCTACAATAATGTCATCAATGTAACATCGACAATATTGTAAATCTCTTAGTATTACATCCATTAGCCTTTGGAAGGCTTGTGCTGCATTTGTCAATCCGAACGGCACTACCGTATATTCGTACAGTCCAAAGGGGGTTGTAATTGCCGTTTTAGGCTGGTCCTCTGGTGCCATTCGTATCTGATGATATGCTCTTCGCAAATCTATTACTGAAAATACTGTGGCACCATCAAAATCATGCAACGATATCCTGTACATGTGGTAATGGGTACCTATCTGGCACTATAACACTGTTACGTATACAGAAACTCTCCGTTTTTAGAAGCTCGCGTTTATTAATCTTATTTTATCTACCCTTCTGGAATTTGGAGCTCGGTCTCACGGGAGTGCATCCTGCAGCTGCATCCTCTTAATATCATCTTTGACTCGCGTTGCGTGGGATAGTTTCTAATCTACCCTTTTCCCAGGGCACACAGCTGCCGACCTCAGAGCAACGAAAATCCTAACCGTCAAATTTCCTAATATGGAAATCACTGACGGTTCCCCACCAACATTTAGGGGTATATAAACCCATGATTTTCGTTGCTCGAGGGCTAGTACGAAAGAGTTACTCGTTAGAGACACATTGATCGTCTGCAGAGTAGTACTCTAGTGAGATCGGGCTTCAGTTCCTTTCGATCATCGTTACCATATAGATCCGCGAAGACGGTTTTAGAATCTATTACGGCCATAAAGGTACTCTCGACCCCCGCATCGCCAGTGCGTCAACACCGCGCAACACTTAGGTAATTTTAACTTCATACACTAACCGCGACAACACGACACTGGACACTTGTAATTAGTATAGTTATTTTGAATATATACTCTTTGTGTAAAAGTCTGTAAGATCAATCATCAAACCTTTACTTTGAAATCACCAATCCTAGCCAGTGTAACGATCCCACAACATAATAACTTTACCGCTCGAGTTATTATTCTATTAAATTAACAAGTTGCGAGGCTTTATCCGCGACGCGTAGTATTCATTATCGATACGATTTAGTCATTGTGTACTCAACCCGAACTCCTAAACTTAACCTATCCTGCGGTTACCCTTTACTGGGAGATACCGATTCCTGCAGCTATCTGACTTCGCGTTAGAGTCGTCTGCACTTTTTCCAACAACCTCACAGTTCGAACCTTACCCTACGGTTACCCTTTACTGGGAGATACCGATTCCCAGCAGCTACCTGACTTCGCGTCAGAGGCGTCTGCGTTTGTCTTCAATAACCAAGACAACCAAACACCTTAACCTACGGTTACCCTTCACTGGGAGATACCGATTCCTGCAGCTATCTGAATTCGCGTCAGAGTCGTCTGCATTGTCTAATCTATCCTCAAATCTTCGGCACCATTGATACACAATAAATAATCGTATTGGTTTCAATTCTCAAATCTATCCCACTCGCTGGGCTCACACGCGCGTCGCTATCGCCCTGGCTCGTAACAACACTGTTTAGCCTCCTATAATCACCGCATAACCTCCATTCACCAGTATTTTTCTTTATCATATGTAATGGACTCGCTCATTGACTCTTCGATGGCTGTATTATGCCCTCCGTCAACATTTGCTGAAATTCTGTCTTTGTGACTGCCAATTTTTCTAGTGTCAATCTCCTAGGTTTGTCTGTTACTGGTGGTCCTTTAGTTATTATATGGTGATATACGTTGTGATTTCTGCTAACCTGATGCTGTGGCTTAGTAATATTGGTAAATTCTTTGAGTAATGCCTGATACCTGTCCTTAATATTAATCGTGCTGATTGTTGGTAATGCTGAATCTATTATTGCTCCAATTTTAAAAAGGTTGGTGTTCGAGTCAATGATCTGACGTCTCCTGAGGTCTACTAATAAATTGTAATGATGTAGAAAGTCCGCTCCTATAATCGCTTTTGCCACATCTGCCACCACGAACCGCCATGTAACTGGTCTACGTAATCCTAAATTAATTGTTAATATTTTATTGCCGTATGTATTAATAACTGTACCATTTGCAGCATCTAGTTTGTATGTATCTGTTTTTAATGCACGTCTGGTGGATTTTGGTAGGATGGAAATGTCAGCACCCGTATCAATTAAAAATTGTATGTTATTTTCCTTGTCCATCGTTATGAGGCGTCTCTTAGTAATGTCACCTCTTAACGCCTCCACAAAAGGTGATTGGCTCAGTTTTCCTGCTTTCTTTTATCCGGTCCAGTCCAATTACAGGGTGGCTTGCACCCAAATGAATTTTCCTTGAATCTCCTATGGTAAAAACAAGTATTCTGCTGTTCCGCGCCATTGCTATCTCTCGATCGAGAGCGCCCTCTGAAATAGCGCCTTCTACTGTTGCTACGATCTCGACTACGGCCTCGGTAAAATGGCCGCCTCTTCATGTTGTCACGAACCAGCATCTCTAACTTTTCTATCTTTCTTGTCAATGTCGCGGTTTCAGAATTTCTTTCTACTGCTTGTTGCGACCCATCTCTTTCCGAGACCGGCGCCACTTCAGCATGAGCGGATCGTTCTATCGATCGATCCTAGTAATGCCAGTTTTTCTAATTCTGTGTCTTCCACTACGGCTAGTATTTCCTGTATTCGCTTTGGAGGTCTCTGCAGCCATAATGTTTGTAGAACGCCCGCAGTCACTCGCGTCCCAGCTAATAACGTCATTTCTCTTAGCAAATCGGAGGGTTTCCGATCATCTAATTCTACGCCTGTTAATAATTGTCGCAGTTGCGTCTCCTTCGATGACGCTATTCTGCTTATTAATGCTTCCTTGATTTTTTTGTACGAATCCTCTGTATCCGGCGAGGAAATTATATCGGCCACAGTTGTTATTATCGTATTGTCTAAGTGACGGATTACTGCCGTACACTTAACAGCATCTGACCGAATAATATAAGCCGCAAATTCTCGCTCTAGCATCGCGAACCATAATCGAGGGTCTTCACGCCAAAATGTAGGTAGTTTAACGCTTTGAAAATCGCTCGCATTTACCTCCGTGCCTTCTCGGCCCCCTTTTTCTTCGTCGTTCGGCATGTTTTCTTGTTTTGTAAACGGGTTTCGGCACCAATTGTAGGGGAAACCGTTCGACGCGCTTGTTTAATGAGCAACGATAACAATTATTTTATTTAATTTCGCTTACACAAAACTCGTGGGACTCCACATGCGGTAACGGTTACAATACATACAACCAACTTAAAAACTAGATGGTAACTTATGCTCTAGGAACTTTTCTCTTTACGCCACAAAACTGTAGCGGAACTACACACGAAGGGTAAGGAAGAGTTCTGTGGAAGTTCGCGGGTATAAATAAAAACTCTTATTTATTGCGCTTGCGTCTATTCTCTATGAATACTGTTTTGCTTCTACTACACGCGTCCTTTTGGAAGCTACGCAAGAGCGCGTCTAACATAAGGCTTACCAACTACTATGTACAAAGAATTACAACTAGTAACTAAAAATACTTAACCTAACTAAAACTAGATAGCGTTTGCTATTTACACTATGTGCGACTCTGGTCGCTACAAAACCAGTATTAGTATCAATTTTGAATTAAAAAGACCTGGCAGATCTATAACTCCTATATCTAGTATTAGTATAGTTCAGTTATTGGCAGCTACCAGAGAGCGGTCGCTAGGTTTGGAAGCGAAAAATTTGTAAGCTCACCCGCTCACAGAGCGGCTTATTGTGAGCGGTGGTTTTCTGGATGCACTTGGATGCACCCATTCCCTTGTCGAACGCTACACGACGTGAATACCAGAGACGTGTTGTATGCCTTTGCCAAGTTGGAAAATCGAAAGCAGATATACCGCATCAGTCGTTTTCTGAACAAGAGAAATATACTCCTGAACGTAATACCATATCAGAAATGATGGAGTTTGACATTTTTTGATAACGCAATTAAATACAGTTGATAATAATATTCAATCATGCCCTTTTCACGACCTTTTCTATTAAAGTTTTAGCAATAATATAATTAAATAGTGGTGATAATAACATGCACTGATGCCTTTCTCATTTTTACAGTTATCGGTCATTACTTTATTATTTCGTTTACACTCGTTTATTAAGGAAACTGATTGATTACTTATGTTCTATTAATTACTATACTTTCTGTCCAATTTTCTGTTTGATATTACTTCAATATTAACATGTTATGGATTTACTTTGTAAACTTTCTAAAACATTAGATTGTTAGAATTTCTGTTTGATATTATATCAATATCAATAATATCAAACATTAACAACATTCTCCAAGAATGTTTAAATAATTCGATAATGTGTACAATTTACAGCTAAAGTTTCTTTTCTATTTCTGTGTAGAATTTGTTATCTCTTCCAGTCAATACATATGTAATTATGTATATATATATTAACTAGCATTATCAAAATGCAACTATCTAATTATATTTTCTGACTACTTAAAAAACCAAAAAGAGACATTGTCAATGTCCTAAAATATTTCGACTTGGGTTGTCTTAATTTCTCTTTCTTATTTCTATATTAATAACGTCAAATATTAACAATGTTACTAGAAAATGTTTGAAATGTATACAATTTATAGTTAAAGTTTCTTTTTCATTGCATAAAATATTTTTATTCTTCTACTCAATACATATTATTAATTAGAATTAGGAGACTTTGTCAATGTCTTAAAATATTTTAACTTGGATTATCTGAATTTCCTTTCTTATTTCTATATTAATAACGTCAAATATTAACAATGCTACTAAAAAATGTTTGAAATGTGTACAATTTATAGTGAAGTTTCTTTTTCATTGTATAGAATATTTTTATTCTTCCACTCAATACATATTATTAATTAGAATTATCGAACTATATTTCCTGCCATTCTATGAAAACAAAAAAGAGATTTTTTGTTATTTTCCTAAAATATACGTATTACCTTGCATCTATCGTTAACGCCTGAAATCGCCCATTTGTTTAAACAAATAACATGGATTTTCGTATCGTATTTTCAAATTTCATAAGAATCCCGGAGCCATTCACCGCATAGCTCTCGTCTCATTACGTAACTCGTCTGATTCGTGAAGCAGGCGTGAGAATAAGTGAATAAAATAAGAAGGGTGGTAGAAGCACCCTTCTGTTATTCACCCTAGAGCACTTAAGTCAGAAAGGCTCATTGTCCGCTCCTTCTCATTAGATGCCACCTAGCAGTTCCATCGACCGCACCAAGTAACAATACTGTGGATGCTTTTTTTCCTCCTCCTTGATCTGTAGTTGCAGGAAACACGAGCGGATTTTATGTCTCCGTGTCTGCTCTAATCCCGACCACGACTGTACCGAAAGACAATACTTCTAGTGCTCTGGCTGTCGTGTGAAACGTTGAAACGGGTTTGGCGGCTCTCGATGCTTGAGATATTTTCAACGACCTACTTTTTATATATTTTCAAGTTTCTCACTTCTTGGACCTAATTGTTATGCACACCGGAAATTGGACTTTAGTAAAATTACGAAAAAAATTTTTCAAATAGTGGTTTAAATAATTCATGCTATATAGTTTAGTTAGATAGTATATACTATCTAACATATGTTAAATGGAAAGCCAAATGTCAGTAAATAAAGTACTTATCTTTTTTTAACCGGAAATATGAAATATTATTGAAAATAATATTATATAAGAAATAAGTCATTCAGAATAAATATTTGCGATAAGTATTTTAGATATGTATTTTAAAATGGCCGGTATACAGGGTGTCCCAAAAATGTTGGAGTTCCTTGAAAGGGGTGGTTCGGGAGGTGATTTGAAACAACTTTTTCCTTTGCGAAAATGTTGTCCGAGGCTTCGTTAAGAAGATATTAACGGAAAACACTGACCAATCAGAGCGCGCGTATACCGGTGGAGCGGCCGTGGTAGCGTATGAACGTGGGACGCCTAGCGTGTAACCTACTCCCACCACGGCTGCTCCACCGGCATACTCGCGCTCTGATTGGTCAGTGTTTTCCGTTAATATCTCCTCAACAAAGCTTCGGACAACATTTTCGCTAAGGAAACAGTTGTTTCAAATCTCCCCCCAAACCACCCCTTTCAAAGACCTCCAATATTTTTGGGACACCCTGTACATTACCAGTAATCGATATTGCTGCCACCCCCCCCCCCCCACCCAAAAAAAAGAATGCCCCAAACCTAATCAGACAGTATTTCCGTGTAGATAGTGCATGCAATATTCCTCCCTCATTATTTTTCATTCGTAAAAGTAATTAGTAGAAAAACTTATATATTAAAAACTTAATAATATAAATTAAACATTAAAAGTAAGCATTTTTGCGATTTTCCTATAATTACTACCAACATCAGTTGAATCCAAGTGAACTTTTGTTTAGTTTCTCTTCGTGTCCCGACGGAAAATATAAGTTAGTTAATTTGGACAGTTGCCGTCTACGTGTTCTACAATGCAATTGTTATTCACATCATCGGCGGTACACGAGACGCATAAATAAAGCAGACTGTAAAAAGTACTGAGAAATGGGTGCCGACCGATAATATTTTTCTGCTGGTCAATGATATCCAAGGGACCCTTTTATTTATAGGATAGAAGATCGTGTAGATGTAAAGATAATAAAATTCAACTGAATACATTTGAATCGCAAATGCGATCGAGCGTGTGCTCCATAATGTCTACGTGTTCGGGAAAAATTCTTACAATACGTGAAAATAGTCTTCAATGAAATTAGAACATGAAGTAAAGAAATAAATATTATTTGTCCAAGTTGTTTATAATAAAATAAATATGTCATTCTAATAAGTTTAATATTCTAATTGAGTTTTACGTTGTTTCTGCAAAGTTTATGAAAAACATACCTTTTCTATTCCCCATAAGATTGTTTTTGATATTTTTAATTTTCTAAAACAAAAATCATTTCAAAGGTTAACCCCTTTCAATTTGACAACATTTTAAACATCTTACAACTGACAATAACATGATTTTACACGCAAATTAATGTAAAGGAATATCATATTTTAATATTCTATGTATCTTTACGTATTAGAAAACAACATTTTTTTGTATGAAGTTTTGTATTTGTTCTTTGAATGGTAACTTATGAAATACTCATCAGAATGTATCCATCATTCAAATTCATCTTCGTTCGGACCAATTTCATTATAGAAATTAGAAATTCATTTTTGTATGCCATTCAAAATCCTCGAAACCATAAAGACTTTACGAACAACTTTTTACTACTATAGAAGAATGTAAATTAACACTGAAGATTTGAAAATTGGTACTTTAATGTACCAAAATGTCGAATATACATATATATGTCTGTTTAAACTAGAGTTATAAATTATTGAATATAAAGGCACGGAATTAGTTTCTATGCCTAATACATTCATCCCTGCTTATAAGTATGTGAACATTTTCTCAATTAAAATAAATATTTTAAAAAAAGTTAGGAATCAATTTACGAATATTATTTCTGTTTCTGTATTTAGTTTGAGTTGTATTAGAAGAAATGTTTGATGAATAGTTTATTGAATGTCTGAACAGTAATGAAAAAAAAAACAAAGTATTCATTGTACCCAAAGCAATATTATTCTTATTATTTTTTTAATATCTCGTCAAAAATGGTTCTCCGATGTTCGACATTTTTTTCCAAACTTTCCTATCTAAATGGTCCCATAGTTTTTCTGTGAGATTTAATATGCCAATTGAAACTTTAATATAAACTAGAAATACAGACAAAATTGAAGAACAACAAAATTTATAGTAATAATTTGCAGTGTACATTAATGATTCATTCAAGGCGGTAAATTTGAGAACTTGCGATAGAAAATCTTATTAATATTTTAAGAAGTCAAAAATGATAACAATTATTACAAACAACATTGATCTATAATTATATCAACATTCTACTAAAGGAAGGGAAATGTTGTAAAAGCCAGGGAATTCATTGCTGAAATAATATTTTATATCTCTCTAAATTATTCTGAGAATCAAGAGATTATCCAGGCAAAGACTCGTGTTTAATGAAGACATTCTGTCAACAGTGATCGTTTATATTCTGATTACTGG